GAAACATTATGCTTCCTAATAAGTTCATTTTATAGAACATTTATTGTATAAGGAATTTTATGTTCTCTCTGTAGATAAACGCGTGGAAAATTGGCCTCTGATGCAGTCCCCGTTGCCTACGCTTTGTATAAGTACCCTTTACCTCCTGTTCGTGTGGCTGGGTCCAAAATGGATGAAGGACCGAGAACCTTTCCAGATGCGTTTAGCGCTCATTATCTATAATTTCGGGATGGTTTTGCTTAACCTTTTTATCTTTAGAGAGGTAGGTTTACTAAAGTTCACTTTATAATTCCCCAAGTCTATTGCAAATTAAAAAAGGAGAATGTGTAAAACTATCATTGTAATGTTGTGCCCTAAGATAAATGTTAGCTACTCTAAGAGTACATTTTATGTTATTGACAGTTTTCATTTTTGGATAACAAAAATGTGAAACATATGTAAAGTGTAAGACAGTTGTTTAAAGTGGGATTTTGAAGCAGACAGACTGGATTCTAAAATAACCCTTACTAGCTTTTCTGACACTGGAAGTTATTTAACTTTTTTGAGATTCATTTTCCCCATCTGTAAGATGGGCATAATACCTAACTTCTAGGGTATCAAAGATAAGTGAGATAATTTTTACATAGTGTTTGGAACATATTAAGCGCTCAGTAAATAGTTGTAGCTATATGTTTATAATTCTTATTCAGCAGTTTCAGGTTTGGTAACTGATGAAAATATGCAGATGTAGAATACCGATCTCAAGTTTAAATCCTATTACATAATGTAATTGTATTTTATGTTGGAACTGAAGTGAGTTAACTGTTATACAGCTGTTGCTACTAACCACTGCCCACCTTTCTGGGCAGCAGCAAATCCTCCATGGCATTTCGAAAGAAAATCCTAAAGGCTGGATTGGCACAGCCATTTCTTAAGTTGTAAGAGTGAAAGGAATTTGTTTTCCACGAGACTCCTCATTAATGTTCTGTATGAACCCAGAGTACTGGACTGGTGATGCTAGGGAAAAGAACAGTATGCTCCTTTAAAAAAACCTTTCTTTAATTGACAACTTAGCCTACGGAAGCTCAACTTCATAAAAAACTTTAACCTGTTTGGATACTTTACCCAATTTGTTAGATGCAACCCACTCTGGTTCAAGACTAGAAATCCGTGCAACTCTTGCTGCATCTGGTGAATCACAGTTTCTCTTAATATTATGAGGTAGAGAGTCTCTGTCTCAGTCCGAATGTCACATGTCATTTTAAATTTAGATTTCAATTTTAAAATAAATTGACAGATAGTAAATTTTAGAAATTCCAACATATTAAATGTTTAATGCATTGAAAAATTTTAAGACCGAATTGCTTTTAAAAATATTTTGCAAGTTTGCGTATTGTAGGTAGTGCTTATAAATGCCGTATCTACTGAAACTTTACTCCAAATATTCTTCCCTTTTTCCAGCTATTCATGGGATCATATAATGCAGGATATAGCTATATTTGCCAGAGTGTGGATTATTCGGATAACGTTCACGAAGTCAGGGTAAGTACCTTGAAAGCAGTGTTAATCAGTAGGAGTTGGTTTAATTTTGTAGTCCCTAGTCTGTGAAAAACATTCTTCAGTATAGTGGTAAAAGTGTACTGGATTGTTTCGAGTCAACAAAGCTATGCTTTTTTTTTTTTAAGTACATAATTGAAAATCTGTTTTCATCCCTCCAGTATCTTCTCTCATTTGGTAATGTGAGAGTGAAGGTGTGTTGGATTACTAAAATGCAGTAAGCAAAAAAAATAAAAAGAGAAGTTCCATGTTTAGTATAAAGATGATATTTTAGATTTTTGTTTTTTTGGTCAAGAATAGACACTCTTAGAGAAAGCTGAATTCATTTGTTAAGAAAGCCTGAGGAAAACGAACATCTTATAAACTATGTACTGTTTAGTAAATTAAGCACAGCACAACTAGTATAGGTATAAACTCAGTTTTTATCATCTTTGCAGAAAAGCAGACTAGTAATATAGTGTTACCGTATTTTACTGTGCAGTCACCTGCATCAGTAAAATTACCATCTTATTTTATTAACTATTTATTGAACTCCTCTTGTGTGCTATGGTTCATATCAAACATTACATATACATAAAACATTTATATAGCATATATAACATATGTTATATATATGTGTGTGTTTTATGTTACATGTAATATATGTATTAATATAATTTGTAGTAGCCGCCCTTGGAAAAAAGTAGCTCTTCGGCATTGGGGTTGGACAATATAAATAGCAGTATCCATCAAGACCCAGCACCAGATTGCTTTCCTGTAGTTACCATTTTATGTCTCTGTCTTCATTTCCCTATTAGGAGATATAATGCGCCGATGAAAGAAAAATCACCCCTTTTGGTTGTCATGTTGGTTTTATTCATTGAACAAATGTGTATTGAACATGTGCTGTATGTAGATGGTGTGAGGGGCCCTGGGGACCCAGGTGGAAAGGCAGATAGGATCCCTGCCTTTGTGGAGCTGACATTCTAGCAAAGGTGGGAGAGGCAGACACTAGTCATGTAAACAAACGGTTAACAAGAACCTAAGACCCGTGATGCGACTGAGAGAGGATGAGAGGAGCCCCTTTATACAGATTTGTTGGCTACGGTAACCTCGCTAGAGAGCCTCTCCCTGGGTGGAGCGCTGACTCAGGTCTTGCTCAGGTTGGGGGAAGGAAAGGAAAAAGCGCTGGGCTTGCTTTCTCTGAGGAGTGAACCTAGGTAAACCCCTTGGATGAAACAACATGCTAACATTTTGGGAATAAAGTTTTAAAAATACCACTCTGGTCATTGTGAGCCTACCATCCTGGCATGCATAAACGATCAGTTCTTTAAAAATTGAGAATGGACTTGAGGATATGGGGAGGGGGAAGGGTGAGCTGGGACAAAGTGAGAGAGAGGCATGGACATATATACACTACCAAACGTAAGGTAGATAGCTAGTGGGAAGCAGCCGCATAGCACAGGGAGATCAGCTCGGTGCTTTGTGACCGCCTGGAGGGGTGGGATAGGGAGGGTGGGAGGGAGGGAGACGCAAGAGGGAAGAGATATGGGGATATGTGTATATGTATAGCTGATTCACTTTGTTATAAAGCAGCAACTAGCACACCACTGTAAAGCAATTATACTCCAATAAAGATGTTAAAAAAAAAAAAATTGAGCTATTGTGAGAACTGAAATCAAGTAGGAGAAAGAACCAGAGCGGCAGCAGATTGCATTTGAAAATTTCCTGGCTCTCTCCTCCTCTCTAATATGCGATGTGGCAGAGTAAGTGTTTTACCCAAAGACTCATTTTTGTATCCATTGTTATGTAGCCAAGAAGGATCTCTTCACTTTGATGTAGCTATTCAGTTTACAAACTAAAGAGAAGGATTATTTATTACTATTCATGAGTGGTGGCTAATTTAGAGGCCCAGATAGGGGGAGAAATAAGACATTATCTCTTCCCTTCTAGATAAAGTTTGCTGCACCAAAATGTTATACTTTAAAGTACTAACATAATAGTGAATATTATAGTGTTGCTGTGAGAAATTCCCTATTTCAAGCCTAGTTTCAAACAACTTTATCACTTTCAACAATATTATTACTCAAGCAAATTCAGTAAATAATTCTCACTTTGTAAATACAGTACTATTTTTTCTTTGGCCTTTCTCTTTCTTCCTTGCCTACACTTTAAAATTGTAATTTTGTTTTTCAAAAGCAAAAAGCCAAACCCAGACAAAAACCCATGGCATCCAACAGGTGCAGGTATAAAATGAGGAAGGTCTCTATCAGCTCTGAAACACCTAAGCCTGGCTGTGAGTGAATCTGCCAAACCCCTGACACACAGAGGTGTACGAACAGATTTCAGTTATGTACCGCTGCCTTTGGTATTTGTACACAGGACACATGTCATAGAAAATACTTGACATAAAAAAGATGAATTGAGGTTACTATTTTAGTAGGATCCTTGGAAAATATTTTAAAACATACACACAGAGGTCACCTCTCACTGGATCCTTGGATCCTTAATCTCAGCATGTAATGTAATCTTTCTGCACCATCTGGTGTCTTAATTAGAGCCCAGGAAAAGAAAAGACTTATTTATGTAAGCACGATTATATTTATGACCTAAGAAATATTTGTTGTGTATGTTTGTTTGTTGCAATTTATCATTTTAAAGATGCTACTGCCTAATAAAAGCTACCGTGATTATTTTGTTGCATATGTTAAAGTGAGAGAGAGAGAGACAAGACACTCACAGAGCCCAGTTGATACCCAAGCACACTTGCAAGAATCTCTGAGGTATGATATAGGCTAGGCATGAACAAGTGAAATACCTTTACAAAGTAAATATCTCAGTTTCTCTACCATGTTGAAAATCATAGCAATGTGAAAGTGTTTACAGCTCTGCATTCAGCACTTGGGTACTGGTGACATCCAGCTATGGAACAGACTGAAAATTTTCTCTGAATTGTTGGCACTGTGTAGATACAGATTTGGACTCTTTCTTTCCCATTATTTTCCCTGTGAATAGATGCCTGGGTTTCACACCCACTTAGACAAAAATGATTCTGTGCCTCCTACATTTTGTGCAGTGAAGATTGTTTAGGACTTAGAATGTGTAGAAAACCATGCGATAGTGTCATTCTGGTGTTTGTAAAATGCTTTTTTCCCTTTCTTTCTACAGATAGCTGCTGCTCTGTGGTGGTACTTTATTTCTAAAGGAATTGAGTATTTGGACACAGTGTTTTTTATCCTGAGGAAGAAAAACAACCAAGTCTCCTTCCTTCACGTATATCATCACTGTACAATGTTTACATTGTGGTGGATTGGAATTAAGTGGGTCGCAGGGGGACAGGGTGAGCATTTTCAGGAACATATCCCCAGGTAGTAAATTATGTAAATGTGGAAGATGGAAAGTAGTGAGAATTTGACTTGGTCTATAATTTAATTTACTTTCATGGTTAATTATTTCTGTGTTAATTTCACTTTAAAGAAATTTGAAGAAAGTAAAGCTTTAGCTTTTTATCTGTGACTACTTTCACACCTACAGATTTACCCCAGAGATAAGCATAAACGAATCCCAAACATAGCAAGTTATATTTTGATAGGGAACAGTTCTAGTGGTTCTGATCCAGAGGATACCAAGATACAGCTTCTCAGTCTGAAGGCTTTGTCTCCTCTCCAAGCCCAAAGCCCACTCCTGCTGTCAGACAGGCCCAAGTGCACCTGTTGGTTCTTACTCAAAGGAAATTGTGTGTAGCCTTCTCAGTGTTGAAGAGAATCTGAATTCACAGTTTGGCCAAGGTCTGCCTCCAGCTTTTCAGATGCCTGTACATTGGAGATGATTCACATCACTGAGCTGTAAACAGACCATTCCTCTGATGGGGACCCGGGGTACAAGTCAGTATATAATAGCACAGTTCACCTTGCTACCTTCCATTTAAAACTATTTAGGAAACTAAGAAATAAGTACTATTTTTTTGTAGCTATGTATATCAGCACATGTAAAGGCAATAATGAAACATTTACAAATCTGCTTAAACAATTATATGTACCATGACTTTTTTTCCCCAAGAGTAATAGAATGCAAAGTAATACTGGCAGTAGTTCTGTATTGGGGCCTACTTAAGCCACTGGAGTACCCCTATTTGAAAATTTGCCACTTTGAAAGTCCTTTGCATTTGAAGGACACCCTTTTTTATTTATGTGGTGAAAGCCTGAGTCTGAACTTTAAAAATACTTGGCGTGATCTGAAGAGAAGGCTTTTCCATTAGAACTATTTTACAACTTTTATTCCTCATCTGTACTCAAGATTAAATGTTGGAAAATAACGTAGATTCATTTATTTTATGTCCAAATGGTTTATCACCTAATACAGGTTTCTGTAGCTTGTAATTACCTCTGTTTTTCTAAAGCATTTTTCGGAGCCCAGATGAATTCCTTCATCCATGTGATTATGTACTTATACTACGGGTTAACCGCCTTTGGCCCATGGATTCAGAAGTATCTTTGGTGGAAACGATACCTGACCATGCTGCAGCTGGTGAGTTAAATGCTTCTAAAGTTTTTTCTGGTGAAACACTGAGAATGTTTGAATCTAATTAATTGTAAAGTGCTGAGTCGTTTTCGGCAATTTTCTGTTACCAAGCCGACTTTCTCTGTGCTCCAGCTATAGGAGTTGAGGCTGTTTGGTTCTGAGCTACCTGTTCATAGACCTAGTGGTCATGGCCACTCGTTTTTTAAATGTCCTTAAAAGACCAGACTCAGCTCTTGTCTAAGAGAAATATCCTTTAAACATATCTGTGAAATGGATGAGTAAAGACCTAAGCGTACCACAAAGTACACAGACTCATTTATGATTAGAAAAATAATCTAACTTCTTTCTTAGGCTTTTTTTTTTTTCACTTAAAATGTTACTACTGCCTCTCTTCATCCTGCCCTTACGTAAATTTTCTGTTGTCTATTCCATTTTTCCATCCTTGTGAACAGATCCCATACGTTTAGAATATGAAAGTTGTAGGAAAGGCACAGAGCCAAGGAAGGAGTGGGGTAAAGGAAGGGACGAAGGGGGACTTCCCTGGCGGTCCAGCAGCTTCCACCACAGGGGACATGAGTTCCATCCCTGGTTGGGGAGCTAAGATCCTGCATGCCTCATGGCACGGCCAAAAAATTAAAAATTAATTAAATTTAAGAAAAGGAAGGGACCAAGGACCAGAGAACTCTTAATTCCCCGACACACAGTCATTAGCGAGCAGAGCTCAGTATTCTCAAATGCTAGTCTTCAGAGCAGGCAGTTCTCAGCACCTACCCCCAGTAGGACTTCTTGTAGCATCTGGGTGCATCAGTGCAACCTTCCAAGCCAAGCACTAGCCCAGTAACCAAACTGGAAATCCAAAACCAACCTGGTAGCTATTCTTAAGCCTTGGAATTTATTATAATTTGCTTTAATCGTAGCACGTACACAGTTTTATCAGTGTACAGTGGAATCACATTTGGAAACATTATTCATCTCTGCTTTAAGTTTCTAAACAATAGGCTAACCAAACAGGAAGCACAACCTTTGGGAAATGCTGGGTGTGCAGGATTCATCTGTAAGTAAAGTGCTACAGGAAGCTTCCTCCAGTTTTTGTGTAAGCCATTTATATAGTTTGTGTAATTCGTTTCTCTCAGTAATTATTATTAGATGGTCCCAAGAAAATGAGGAGGCGACAAAACTCACGTGAACTCTCCATCTCTGCTTTGCTGGAGCCTGCACCTGACTGTCCTTTAGCGATGCCACACCTCACACTCACCCTTCTTCCGTGATGCACGTCCTAAAAACCATTGTGAAATCAAAAGTTCTTAAAATCTGGATTTTGCCATGGAAAACTTTTAAAGTTTTTTAGTCTGATAGAAATTTGGGGCTTACATGGGATAAACTTTAAAACTAATATTTAATATAGTAATTAATATTGATAATGCTGTCCTTTAAAGAGAAACCACAATTGCCCTTTCCAAACAGGATGTTAATTTCATGAAAGGTAGTGTATTTCCAAGCGAGAAGCTCTCACAACAGTTCATCGTGTATGTCAATCTTGTAAAAAGCTAACCCTTGTTAATACCGTGGAATTCATAACTCTTATGTTGAGAACCATTCACTCTTCTTACACTTATTCTCAAATATCTACAAAATTTTACCAAAAAATCTTAGTCTTTAAAGACTTGTGTCCCTTCAAATGCAAATTTACTTGTCTGCTATTCTGTAAGAAACAAGTAATGAACCATTTTGATAAGCTCATTTTTAGAAGTATATGTACCGGCTTGCTGACAACTTTGTGGAAGGAAATCAGTAAAAAAAATATGGGAGGAGGGCTTCCCTGGTGGCGCAGTGGTTGAGAGTCCGCCTGCCGATGCAGGGGACACAGGTTCGTGCCCCGGTCCGGGAAGATCCCACATGCCGCGGAGCGGCTGGGCCCGTGAGCCATGGCCGCTGAGCCTGCGCGTCCGGAGCCTGTGCTCCGCAATGGGAGAGGCCACAACAGTGAGAGGCCCGCGTACAGCAAAAAAAAAAAATACGGGAGGAAAACAAAAATTGAAGAGCCTATAGTACCACTACTTTACTCTCTTAGGCCACTGATATTCCCTCTCATGAGGTAAAATTATTCAACATTATCCAAAAAATAATTCCTTGAGCCCAGACACCAGGCCAAGGGCTCGGGAATCATGGAGACCAACACAGAGCCCCGCCCTCGGTTGTACACGGGTGGAGAGGTGGACAGTCCAGAAGTCAGCAGATGCAAAAGACACAATTCCTGTGAAACGAAAAAACCCACACAAAACAGAACCCTTCGGTTAAAGGGATGGAGGTACCCTCTGGGTGGAGGTACTTGAGTCTTAGCAGGAAGCCCTAGCTGAGGACATGTCATTTGAGCAGCAGCCTGAGTAAGGAGGAACCAGAGAACTCTTAAGCCTTGGACCGTGGGGCGACGGCGTGGGCCTGGCTCAGCCGCACAGAAGATGCTGAGGTCGTGACGAGCTGCTTGCTGCCCACAGTAAACGTACCTGCGCTGTTTTGTTTTTCAGATTCAGTTCCACGTGACCATTGGGCACACAGCGCTGTCCCTTTACACCGATTGCCCCTTCCCCAAATGGATGCACTGGGCTCTCATTGCCTATGCAGTCAGCTTCATATGTCTCTTCCTTAACTTCTATGTTCGGACGTACAAAGAGCCTAAGAAAGCCAAAACTGGAAAAACAGCTGCGAATGGTATTTCAGCAAACGGTGTGAACAAATCAGAAAACCACCTAGTGGTAGAAGATGGAAGAAAGCAGAAAAATGGAAAGGCAAAAGGAGAGTAAAGTGAACTGGGCCTTACCTGGTGTCGACAGCGAGGAAGCTCCCACTTCACATACAATTTCAGGGAAACCAGAAGCAAATGAGGGTTTGGGGATGGGGAGAAGACAAACGTGCTCTATGTATTAGTGACCTTTAGATTGAGTAAAGTGTTAAATACAACACCCAGGTGTTTTATTTATGAAGTTTTTATTTTAAACATTTTTTTATTAGCCTTGACCAAAGCAATCATCACGTGACTTTGGAGGCCCCTCCCCCTGTTCATATTCATGTGTACAATGTATGAGAGTTTTCATGTCTCTTCATTCTTCAGACTGATAATCACAGAAACATGGTCTTTATGCCTTTTTTTTTTTTTGGCTAAATTGCTACTTACCTACTGATGAAAATCAGTTACCTTCCATCTTCTGGTCCCAAACTGGAAATGCAGCTACTTTAAAACGTGCACGCTTGAATTCATTTGCTGACTGGAGTGGTCAAATCTCTCCACCTCTAGTCTGAAGATACCCTTTTGGTTGGAATTGAATTTTAAAAATCTGATGATCTCTGTAGACTCTTAGAGGCTTGATGATGATGGTGTTGGGGAGAATAAGAATTACAGTAAAATCCGCCCGGCGACTCAAAGGTCACCGTAACCTGCAGCACAAATCATTGTGGGAAACAATTTTTGTGATGAAAAGGCAGCCTTTCAATACTCCTGTTACTACCAGATATATATTATAAACGTTAAGGTTATTGTCTGATTGGAACATGAAACAACTCATGTCTCTATTAGTAACATCATAGTTACATTTATGTGCTGTTAGAAGAGAGTATGTTGATTTTTATCAGGCTTTCCTTGTTTTGATTTGTGGCTGTTACTGATTTTTCATATGTGGAAATATACCTACCTCTTCTGTTGGAAAGAACAGTTAAAATTAAATAAATTTTAATTAAAAAATCAAGGAGTCCTCTAATGTAGATTTTAATATCAACTTTCAAATTCACTAACACTGTTTTGTGTTTTTTTACAAGTAGTGTCCAGCAAGCTTCTCTGTGAAACTATCCTTCTCTTTTAACGTGTTTAATTTTGGAGTGATACTTTTCTTGTGACAAAGTTGCAAGATCTTACGTGTAACTAGATATGAAGTGTAAACCTGTTTTGGTGCAATATTCTTGACTCCTTGGTGCTAAAGATCATTAAATTCAGTGCTTGATTGTTACCAAGTGTTAATTGCTAAGACATAAGATGAACACGAAAGTGAGAATAGCCAGAATCAGAAAATGAAATTTGCTGTTTACAAAGGAAGTGTTTCATGTAATATAAAAAAACAACTGGAAATTCACTAGGAAAGAACTTACACCCTGTCTTATTACATAGGTTAAATTGCTAGTGGGTATCGCACAGGGATCGTTCGAGAAAATGTGACCAAAAAAAAAAAAAAAAAGGCATGAATATTTCTAAGTATAAGTATCTTTAACATGTCAAAACCGCATGTGCAGGATGTAATGCTGTTTGTGCAGAGTATTTCAGAATATTTTGTAAACCAGAAAATATTTATTGTGCATTAAAATGACACTCTTTCCCCCCAAGGCATGCAGACATGAGAATTACAGACAGTTTGCCGCGTATATAATAGTTTGGTCTAAGAGGATTCAACACTTTTGTTTTTGCTGCTCAGTGTGTAATGACTAGAGATGTGTAAATCTTTGTGAGCTTTCTGTACTGGTTCCCCAGAGCTATTCCTTCCCTGCTACCTGATTTCAGCACAATAAATATACTACTGCTGTGGGAAAAATGATTTTTTTTTTGGTTAATCAGTTGATTATAATGTAAATTACCTGCTAGATATTTATTTATTTGATTCAGTTGTTAATATTTTAAATTCTCCCCTGCTGCCAATTTCTAATGAAAAGAAATGAAACTAGAACTTGGGTGTCAACAATTTCTGGTAAAAAGCTTATTCCTTTATGGTAGCGTATTTTTACTTTAAAACTTAGCTGTCTTTGGAAGAACTTTTGGCTCCAGACATAAAACATATCATTTTCTTCTGAATTCGTACATTTGTCACTTTAAACGTAAGCCTTTTTTTTTTTTTAACTTTTTATTTTATATCGGAGTAGAGTTGATTAACAATGTGTTCGTTTCAGGTGTACGGCACAGTGATTCAGTGATACATAATACGTGTATCTATTCTTTTTCAGATTCTTTTCCCATTTAGGTTGTTACATAATGTTGAGCAGAGTTCCCTGTGCTGTACAGTAGGTCTTTGTTGGTTGTCCATTTTAAATACAGCAGTCTGTACATTTTTAGTGCTGTGCTTTTTTTTTTGTTCCAAAACCAAATTGGGGAGCCCTCCTGTTCTGATATTTAAACCCTTCAATCCTTACTATACTTCAAGTTTCTTTACCAAAGATGATTTTAAGATGTGATAAATGTAGCCTTTTCTGGTAGCCTTCATAATTTCTCTATCACCCCACTAAATATACATGCCTTCATATGTAAAAATCAGTGAAGGAGGATTGCATCCTCTTTTCGGTAAAACTTTGTCACTAACTAAAGAAACGTTTTCCTATTGTAGAAAATAGGGAATTTATGAAATACTCGCATCGACTAGAAACAGCTGAGGCACGTTAGCAGCGCGTTTTCCAATAGCATCGACAACTGTGGCTCTGCCTTTTTCCCTTTTCTGTGTTACTCTTGGCTCCATTTTGCTGTTGGATGCTGCCTGGTGACTAGTTTCAGTTGTAGCATTATTAATTTAGTCATTCTCTTTTTCTCTCTTTCCACACACACTCTGAGGCATTCAGAATTTTCTCCGTATGGGTTATTATATTCACATTTCAGAACATGGAATCTAGCAATGCTTTGTTATTTATCAGGACTATTTTAATTTACAGACTTGCTCCATATAGGGATACACTGTAAATAAGAAAGAGAACCTAGAGATGGAGGTGATTTTTTTGCTGTTGTATCCATTTGATAATATAATTCAAGCATTATATATTGACCGTTGGGGCATTGCTTTTGAATCTCACCTTCATAAGAATGTGACAGCACGCTGAGCTGTTCACAGCCTCTCAGCTTTCCTTGTTATAGCACTGTCCTTACTGAGAAAAAGATGACTACAGATGTACAGGATGGAAGTGGCATGCTCCGTACAGTACTGGGTGACTCAGACTTAGGGTCCTGCTGGATGGTAAATAGGGTCAGAGCGCTGAGGGGCACCGAGATGCTGAGCTAGCTGCACAGGCGCCCAGCATCTGAGCAGGAAACGCAAAACCTGCTCAATGAGATTGGTCACCTGCCACTCAGCATATAAGCAATTTTGACAGGTAACCTTGGAAAGCAAGTCCTTAATAGTGTATTTTAGAACCCATCCTTAATCTTAGGTATTTTAGACAGAGGACCGCTGAACCAGAAGAATCATTGTGAAAAGGGAGAGATGTAGAAACATTTCTCTTGTTTCAAAACACTACAAGTCACACGAGTATCTTTCAAGTCGGTTTTCCTGATGTAAATCACAGAGGGAAGGCACCTCTGTGAATTGAAAGGCACAGCTTTTTTTTTTTTAAGTTTTTAAAATAGGAGGAGGTAACATAACTATATTCCAGAAGGTGACTCAGAGGTCTAAATTAAAAGTTATAATTGATATACAGAACAAATACCAGATGAAGACTGAGGTTTTGGAATATATCACTAAAAGAGCATTGTGACATATTAAGAGATGGTAATAGCTGTGTTTAAATGTTGATTAATTACCAGGAATTTTAGGTGGGCAAGGGGTGATCTGAATTATCTGTTGGTGTTCTTTTAGACTTATAGGTCTAAGTTTTGCTGAATCCTTTGAGAAATTAAACATTTTTCTACCTGTTAAAAAAAAAAAAAAAGCCCAGAACTTAGGTCTCCTTTTTTCTTTGTCTTTTTCATTTTACCACATAAAGACGCGTTTACATGTCCACATGTGAACAAATTTTCCTCCCCACCTTTACGCCTGGTCTTAAATTGAAAATTCAACTAGAATTTTTTTATTTTCCCCATTCTCATAGGTGAGGTTTTCCCAGCAAAAGTGACGTTAAAGCAGTTATCTCCTTTAAGAATAAATGCGTGCTGAAACAGCTCACTTGATATCTGTCTACCTAATTATAATAATCTAATGCAGCTGTCAGAAGGTCATGTTGTAATTGAACATCTGCACAAAGAATATGTCCCAGTTAAAAGCCACTGTAAGACTAAAAACTCTTGGAAGTTTTAAATAATACAGCCATCTCTAAAAAGATAGTGTCTTGAAATTATTGGATATCCCACTTTAAATACAAGACTGTGGGCTGTAAAGAGTGTCTGTCAGCCCACAGGAGTGTTCCGTATCTGCTGTCAGACTCCACGTATCCCTGAATCCCTTTTCTGCAATTTTAGAGAAGCCGGTTAGGTGGTTCCTTTCCTCAGTTTAAGTTTTTTTTTCTTTGAATTTGCCACGAGGTGAAAGGAAAGCATCCGGTCGAGAATCCTTCTTTGTCATCCCTGATGCATCAAGTTTAAACTGAGTTCCTCCTCCCTGTGAGGAAGCTATCCTAAGAACCAGTCTTCCAAGAATAATGATTACCAAGCTATTTGGTAATGAGAGGGTGGGTAGCTTATGAGTCTTGCACAGTATTATGTTAGTGACATTCACACCTCACCTTTGAATATGACTTGTGTTCTAATTTCTCTAATAAATCTGGGAATCAGTTACAACTTTAAATTTTTTCTAAGCAGATTATACACACACACACACACACACACACAC